ACCAGATCACGCCAGGCCCTCCGGTCTTCCTCCATCCTCTGAAGTATTGCCTTAGTTTTCTCCAGTTGCCTGCATTTGTTCATCCTGACCCGAAGACTGGCCCCCTGGCATTTCAGCGCTCTTAGCTGCCTGGGCTACAAAGGGGTTCTTCTTAAGGGGAGATGAGGGAACTATGGCTGAAGGACACGGCTAAATGGGGCCAAAATAATGGCCCTTACCTGGGCTTGTTGTGAAACTAGCCTTAGCTGTCTCCTGTCCTCCTGACACTTTCCAAATCCTTCTGGCTTTTTATGTCTGAGGCATAGCCAGGAGCCGGAACGCAGAGCCCGAACGCTGCCTCCACCTCTGCCTCCTCCGGCCTGATTTCCACGGCTGCCTCCTGGGGCCCAAGCAGACACATCCCAGGGCCGTGCAACAAAAGGCAGGCGGGTCAGCCCCATTGTGACACCCGGGCAGTGTCTCAGCCGGGCCACCAGACAACCAGGGGGTGAAAGAGGGAGGTAAGTGCCTCTGGGAAGGCGGGGTGCGGGTTCAAGGACTTCCCAGGCACGGCTGCTGAGGGCCAAGGTGGCAACAGAGATCTTCTGTGGATGTCTCCAATCGGGGGTGACGTCCCTGTCTGCAGCCCCTGGGATCTCTTGCTGATGCTGGGCGACCAATGATCATTCAGCTCCAGTTTCCCCACTGGAAACAGGACTTAGCATGGCCTACTTAACAAGGGTGTTGCGAGGACAAAAGGAATATGTTGTTTTTTTAAAATCTGCATTGCTTGTCTCTGTGCGCTTCCTGATAGCCCTTAAGTGGGGGGGGGCCCTCCAAATGGGGAATCCCTGGTGACTGGCAACTCTAACCCCCCCCCCATTCTCATTGGGCTTTTGCTTCTACTCCTCATTATTCCTTATTCATTTAATTTATACTCTCTCCTCATGGGGAGTAGGGTTACCAGCAATGCTCCCTCTAAGCTGTGGAGTCTTGTGAGCAAAAATTCTACTTTGTGAGCTCCTGGCATTAAAGTTGTGAGCGAGCCATTTGGCTGCTGCATAAATTAGTTTGCTCTGGAGCCCTCCTTCCTGAGCCAAGACAAAAATGGGTGAGCCAGAGGCTGAAAAACTGTGAGCTAGCTCACACTAACTCAGCTTAGGGGGAACACTGGTTACCAGATATGTGTTGGGAAATCCCTTGAGATTTGGGGGATGGAGCTGTGGGGGGGCGGGCGGAGGGTTTGGGGAAAGGAGGGACCTGAACAGGGTACAGTTCTCTAGGGCACCCTCCAAAGCAGCCATTCTTCCCCAGAGGAAATTGGGTCATTTAGGGATCAATCGTAAAAGTGGGAGATCTCCAGGCCCCACCTGGAGGCTGGCAAGCTGGCCTACTTCGTTCTCTGCTCCTGCATTTCATCCTCACAAAGCACTGGAAGGTTGGTTAGGCTAACGGGAGGCTTTTCTCCTCTTGAAACGTTGAACAGAAAGCGGTGAACTGTTGAGCTTCACAAACAGAGCTTTTCTCTCCCACCCACCCCGGAAAAGATGTTCTGAAACCGAAATCACTTCAAACTGAAAAGAGTAAGCCGCACAACGAGCCTCAAGTGTGAATTGTTGAGGGATTTACGTGTGTGTCTGTTATTTCTAAAAATTAAATAAAAATATTTTTAAAAAGAGAGAGAATAGCCACCTGGGGGAGAGAAGAATCCATGGCTATTTTTGGGCAGGGACGCACAGGAACGGAGTTCCGGCTGGCTTTCAAGTTGGCCACGCCCAGCAGTAACTCATTAGCATAATAGGCCACACCCAACAGCAGAAACTCATTAGGATTGGCTACATTAGGGGTGTGTGGCCTAACATGCAAAGGAGTTCCTGCTCCAACAAACAAGGTAAACAGAATAAGAAGCGAAAGGTGGGTGTGGCTGGATGAGCACACTTCTGGTAACATGGGGGTGTGGCCTAATGTGTTAATGAGCTGTGCTGTCAGGGGTGTGGCCTGATAGGCTAATGAGTTCCTGCTGTTGGGTGTGGCCTATCATGCTAATGAGTTCCTGCTGGGCTTTTTCTACAAAAAGAACCCTGGAAGAATCTGATATATCTTGTCCTGTCCAGCGTGAGCTCTGCTAAGCCAACGCTCTCTAGGTGTGAGTCAACACACGACTACTGAGGAGAGCTTAAATCATCTTTATTTAACTCCACACGCATTCAGAAGATCATTTACTCACAATCAAGCTGATGGCTGGGTGGAAGGTTACATCTTGCGATCTAGGTCAGTTCTATAGCCGCGGTGAGAAAAGAGATGGGCTTCCCCTCTCCTTGCAGTAAGGGTTGATGGACAAAGAAACGGGAAAGAACAATAGAACTCCTATCTTTGCGCCTCTGAGCTCACGAAATTACTCTTAATGAGCCAGTCAGAGGGAAGCTTCTGAGACCCCTAACTGTGGACTCCAATTCCCAGGGTGCAACTACTCTTAAAGATACAGAGCAGTTTTACTAAACTACAGATAACGCTGACTGGGGCCAGCACATATCTAAAAGCCCTAATGCATTGGCACTTTCCAGCTCTCCCATTAGCTGTGCTGTGTGCTCCATCAGCCACTGGCCTATCAGTCGCCACTCAAGAAGAGTATTCGCGTGCCATTGGCTGAGTGCTGGGTCCACTCCTCTCTCCCACCCACTGCCAGCCTGGCCACTGTTCCCTGACAGAATAAACTACCAAAATGGCTGTCTCTCCTGATGAAGACACTTCTCCTGCTTGCTTCCTGTGGGGCTAACTTTTCCCTCAGTGGCTGTTGCTGGGCAACCAAGTTTGGTTCTGTCTGTAAAAAGGCAAAGGCAGCTGGCCCTTTCCAGGCCTACCAACTCCAGGTTGGGAAATCCCTGGAGATTTTGTGGTGGAGTCTACAGAAGCCAGAGTTTGGAGAGGGGAGAGGCCTCAAGCCTACCGAGGGAGGGGAACCCTGGCTGGGGAAGGGAGGAGCGATGGGGGAGGCAGGCCCCCCCTCCTTTGGTTCCCCAGCCGCCCTGCCAGGAGCCACACAGTGTGTGCGAAAGAGCCCCGTGTGGCTCCCAAGCCGCAGTTTGGCCACCTCTGGTCTGAAGCAACAGAACAAGGTTTGAGTCCAGGGGCACCTTTAAGACCAACAAAGTTTAATTCTGGGTATAAGTTTTCATGTGCACATAAAAGCTTATACCCAGCATCAAACTTGTTGGGGTTCCCTAACAGTTGGGCTTGCCAACTTCCAGATGGGGCCTGGAGACCTCCTGCTGTGACAACTGATCTCCAGACTACAGAGATAGTAAATAATAATAATCATCATCATCTTTCTATTTATTAATCGCTCAATCTTTGCAGAGCTGCTGGCTCTGAACGTTTTACAGTTACTCGTGTATTCACAAGGGACTAACAATGATAGGGGTAAGGGAGGACAACATATATCTTTAAATCGCACACATTTCACGGCCGACAGGGAGTTTGTCCAGCTGTAAGCTTCAGACGTGTTCCAACGGCATTCACACTCGGCGTGGCTTGATGTCGTCAGCTTTCTCAGTTGCAGCACAGCATTGCCACCGCCTGGCCGGAATGGCCCATTACAGGCCATGATGCCGAATAGATCTCTCTAGGCTTTTGATCTCAATTGCTGGACCTTCCGTTCGCCGGCTAACACCTCCCCCACCGGGGTTTTTTAGTGTGCCTACCCTCTTTAAGGAGTGGTACCCATTTTATCTACTCACCGAAGCTTTCGATCAGCTCCCCCTGAAGAAAAGGGGTGCTCTAGAGGGTGAATTATCTGGCATTCCCTCCCTCTGCCCACTCTGCCCTCCCCACGCTCCACCGCCATCTATCTAGGGTTGCCAAGTCTTCATTGGAATTATTCCTGGAGATTTGGGAGTGAAACTTGGAGAGGGTAAGGATTTTTGAGGGGAAGGGCCTTACTGGGGTAGGATGCATGCAGCCCACCCTCTGAAGCAACCGTTTTCTCCAAGGGAACTGATCTCTCTGTGTCTAAAGATTAGTTGTGATTCCAGATCTCCAGGCCACACCTGGAGGCTGGCAACCCTACTATCTAGGAATTTCCGATCCAGGATCGGCAGCCCTACTAACAATAGAGTTCCTACCGTGTTATGGTATTAAGACAGTCGTACCGCGGATGGGGAGATCCCTGCTGTTCCATGCATCTCACTGGGCAGCCTTCATTCAGCCAATCCCTCCTCCTCCTCGGACTCACACACCTCACAGGGTTGTCGTGAGGAGTCATGTGCATAGCCCTGAGCGCCTTCGATTAAACCCGGAGGGGGGGGAATGTTATCAGCACAGAGACTCCATCCTCCTTTACATTCGTCTGTAACACGATTCTGGCTCCGTCCCCCAAAACTGGGGACAGCTTCTTCCGCTACTCCTGTCAGGACTGACTATGGCTAGCAACTGAATAGCAAAGCCAAGGAGCTATTGAGATATATGTCAGAGTGATAGAGGTAGCAAGCAGTTACTATAGATCAGTTTGATCTGTTTGTCAGACCTAGCTGTCATGCTAGTAATTATGTAATTACAGCCAGGTGTTTTCTAGTAGGTGTTACTCTTTCAGGTCTTGTTAAGAGTTAGTGATTACATCACCTTGTTAGAGACTGGCTGGGGTTTAGCATAATAGCTATCAGCTTAGTAAGCTGGTGGGGACTCAGTTCTCATAGACGAAGGCACGACATACTGTTCAATGGCCTGTAAATATCTCTGTATATATTCACCTTTATAACTATATAAACTCTCTGTGCACCTTCATAACTGGTCAGTCTCCCGCTTCTTATTTACAATACCCAATAGGAGCCTCGTGGGCAATCGAAGTATGAGCTGGGAGGGCCAGTCCTGCGCCGTCTGCTGCTAGTGGGGATTCCTGGCGGCTCCCAGTGGCCCGAATCTAGGAGGTGTGTTTGAGAGAGGGGTTAGGGGCACCGGGGACTAGACGCACAATGAAGCCCATCTCGACCTCAGCCTCTTCTGGGGGGCAGGGGATGCTGCCTTTCCTATGGGGACGTCGCAGCCGTGGGGCCAAGGATGGGGGCCGTGTCGGATGTGCTTTCCTGAGCCAGGCTCCCGGCGTTGTCTTGGACGGAGAGGACAATGCTGACCGCCTTCTCCCCAAAGCGCCCCTGCCTCCTTGTCGTCAGTACGTCGGGAGAGTTCACCGCACCTTCCTGGCTCCGGAGACCTGTGAGGATGCTCCGTGCGTACGAGAGGAGGGAGCCCCGTGGCCCTCTGCGTGATCCTCCGAGGAAGGTGTACGTCTGCTCCGTGTCATCTGGGCTCGTCTCGGCTGTGGATGCGGGGCAGCTGTCGCTGTACTGGCCCAATGGCCCATTTGCTGCGGTTTCTTTGTGCTTCTTGCTGAGCAGGAAATAGGCCAGGCCACTCAGAACCAGCATCGTTCCTGCAGAAAGCGAAAGGAGAGGAACAGGATTCAAAACACAGCCGTGCGGGCCCCTGGCCTGTGCTTCACACCCACCCACCAGCTGCTCCAAACATGTCCTCCTGGACTCCATGGACATATCGGCGACACTGGGGCAGTGTAAGCACGACCAGCCCCATAGCCAGGATTTTGTCGCTTGTGGGGCGGTTTTTTTCCCTAGTGGGGCTGCCATTATTTGCCATAATGAAGACGGGGTGGTGCACGCCCCCTCTCCCTCCCCTCCTGCACGATTGAAAGGGTGCTTCGGCAGATCAGCGGGGAGCACTTGGCCCTTCTGGGAAGGAGCAGGGGGCCTTTAAGAAGCGGAGGAGCCCTTGAAGGAAGGGAGCAGAGCCCCCAATAGCTGCAGGCCAGAGCACCACACAGGTGTAGACTTGCATGGTGTCGTGGGCAGAACAGGACTTAGTCTACTCCCTAAACCCCTCCAGCCCCAAAGGGCCGTCAACACATAAGAACTAAGAACATAAGAGACGCCAATGTTGGATCAGGCCAAAGGCCCATCCAGTCCAACACTCTGTGTCACACAGTGGCCAAAAAAAACAGGTGCCATCAGGAGGTCCAGCAGTGGGGCCAGGTCATTAGAAGCCCTCCCACTGTTGCCCCCCCCAAGCACCAAGAATATAGAGCATCCCTTGCCCCACACCGAGAGTTCCTATCTATACCTTGTGGCTAATAGCCACTGATGGACCTCTGCTCCATATGCTTATCCAATTCCCTCTTGAAGCCGTCCATGCTTGTAGCCGCCACCACTTCCTGTGGCAACACCAACATACTGTTATGCCAGTGAAAACCTTGGCATGTGCCAGGAGGAAAGTATAACTGCTCTCCCCGCACTCTGCCAGCAGGCAGTCATTTCTCCCCATGGCACCCTCTCCCAGAGAAACACCCGGGGCCAGACACACAGAGCTGAGGCGCTTGGATGTGGGGCACGGAGCTACGACTCTCTGGCCTATGTGGCGAGGAGGGGAGTCCACCCTCCAAAGCAGCCTTTTCCTCCAGGGAAGTGATCCCTGTCGTCTGGAGATCAGCTGTATTTCCAGGAGGTCTCCTGGTGGCAGCATGAGCAAAAGCCCTTACCCCGATATCAGTGGTAGTGAGTATATGACAGTGCCTCACATAATGCCAGTCAGAAGGAAACAATGCATTCCGGTATCACCGTTTACTCCAGTTAGCCCACTGCCCCTGTTACCTGGGATTGTGACGTGCCAGACAAGCACGGGGTGCAGGAAGCAAGCTACCGACAGCAGCACGTAGGCCAGGAACTTCTGGAAGGGCCTGCAGCGGCGGACTTCCTTCCAGCAAGGGTGCCTTGTAAATACCACTGGGAGGCTGCAGTGAAATCCGTATGGTCAGACTGGGTCCACTCCTCTAGAAAACTCCACAAAACTATTGTGTGCGATTTGGCAGATGATGTTTTACAAGGTTAAAGTAAAGGTAAAGGGTTCCCTTGCTCGAAAGCCAGTCGAGTCCAACTCTAGGGTTGCGGTGCTCATCTCCGTTTCCAAGCCAAAGAGCCAAAGCTGGCCGACGACGTTGCCGTGGTCATGTGGCCGGCATGACTAAACACCGAGGCGCACGGAATGCTGTTACCTTCCCACCGAAGTGGTACCTATTTATCTACTTGCAATTTCTTGCTTTCGAACTGCTAGGCTGGCAGGAGCTGGAACTAGAGACGGGAGCTCACTCCATCATGCGGCACACTCGGGTCTCGAACTGCTGAACTACCGACCTGCCACAGCCTGCAGTTCAGCGTCTTAACAACTTGAGCCACCGCAGCTCCTTCTAAACATATGGAATGTTTAAATAGATAATTGGTTATTTTGTGTTGTACATATTTAAGGATTCTTTCTTTGTAACTATTGCAATTACTGTTTCCATAATATCTTTTCCTCATAATTTTTTGCAAAATCTGAAATCGCATAAAATAAAGGAGGAGGGAACTTAACAGTAAATAAAAGCATGCCTACTCCTGGCAAGCTTAATTTTTATAGGCATTCTTACTTTTGGCACAGGCAAAATGACACACCACCACACTACCACCGACTGGGAGTGACTGAGGCAAAATGGGCAGTGCCTCTCAGAGAATTTTCAGACAGGAGGCCGCGTGGCACTGAGGAAAATGCTTTCTTAAGTGGTTCTACCTGGGCAAAGGGGTTTATGGAGAAGGGGACTCACACTGAGCAGGCTGCTAGGAGGAGGCTGGCGAAGTAGGCGGCTTCATATACCAAAATGGTGGCTCCTGAAAAACTGAAGGATAGAGAATATGTGAACGGACAAGGAACAACTAGCAAAAAGCAGTTTCCCCAGGCGGCTCCATACTCACAGCAAGTAGACGGCCAGGCTTTTGAACTGTCCCCGCAGCAGCGTCTGGGCGCCCACCCCAACGAGCACTGCAACACAAAAGAAAGCAGAGCAACAGCCTTGTGAGGAAGGTCAGAATTAGCCCCATATTGCATCTGGAGAGAAATGGAGAGAACTTCTAGGGCTGCCCAGTGAAGCTAAGGGGAGACGGGAACCGAAAAACATTATTGGGATTAACTGGGGTGGTTAGTCCAGTCACCACCAATGTTCCCTCTAAGCTGTGGAGTCTTGTGAGCAAAAATCCTACTTTGTGAGCTGCTGGCATTAAAGTTGTGAGTGAGCGATTTGGCTCCTGCATGAATTAGTCTGCTCTGGAACCCATCCTTCCTGAGCGAAGACAAAAATGTGTGAGCCGGAGGCTAAAAAACTGTGAGCTAGCTCACACTAACTCAGCTTAGAGGGAACACTGGTCACCACTAGTTAGTAGAATGCTTAAATAAAGGTACAAACACAGGAGTGTCACTTTATCAGGTTACTCAGCTTACAAAGCTACACAGAGCCACGTTGCAAGTTTAGAAGAGAAATACTCCTCTCTTTATTTGAGAAGTACACTTTGGAGAGGAAAGAGCAGGGACAGGATAGAGTACTAACTTACTAGCTGAAGGATGGAAGCAGATGGCGAGAGGCTCAAATGCCTCATGGTGCCAAGAGGGGACATGTCATCCCTCCTGGTGTGTGCAGGGGGAGAGCTCGTCTTCATCTCTAAGAAAGAATGGAAGGAAGGGGAATAGTCCCTGAAAACACAATCTACATTTCAAAGGGGGCGGTGGCAGAAGAGTAAAGACAGGAAGGAAAGGTCCGTGTGCCTATCTAGCCTCTCTTGCCACTCAGTCTGGAGGTCTGAGACCGAGGATGTAATGTATCCAGTTCTGACCGCATGGCCGACTGGGGCTCCACGCGGTCAAGCGATACCTTCAAGCTTCGCTCCAGGAAACAATGGACTAAGTGGATCCTAGCCTACACCTATCCGAGGGCTAGGTTCCCGGCCGAGAGCCTATGGAACTCTCGGCCACTGTAAATAGCCTATTGCGGTGTGTGTTTTGGGTGGTGGTTTCACTGGGAATATAAGCCGGCCTGTGAGCCGGCTAAACTTGTCTTGTTCCTGCTTATTAAACCTTATGAGCTGAATCACTGAGATGTCTGAGGACTTTTCACTGGCGACGAGGATGGGATTCATCTTCCCATGAACAGAGACCACGAATCGAGCATCACACCGAGATCACCGCACGCCGCTTTGCCTCGTGCTGCATCTCCAGTTGCCGCTCATCGCACCGCTCTCAGCACCGAGACGCTGAACCTGAGAGCAGCATTCCACCGCTTGACTCCGATCGCTACCGCCGTTCCTGAGCATCTCCTCCACGTGGAACCGTAAGATGGCTGCCGCATCCGAGAGCCTCCCTGCTTTCGACATCTCCCAACCATCGCAATGGGAAACCTGGCTGGAGACCCTCGAGAGCCACTTCACCATCCTCGATGTCACCGGGTAAGAAGAAGGCGTACCTCCTCTGGCACTGTGGTATGGAGGCCCATCTTTTACTGAAGGACCTGATAGCGCCCCGGCTGACCAAAGATGAGTCCTACACCCCTTTGGTCAAGGCGCTTTCGGGCCACCTGGCTCCCAAACCAACGAAGTTTGTGGAGCGGATGGACTTTTTTGCAAAAGTCCAGGGCCCCGACGAGACCACCTCTGATTTTCTCGCGGCTCTGCGACGGGCCGCAACTGGGTGTTCGTTCCTGGATCTGGCTGATGCTCTCCCATTTCCACACATTTAGCCCCTCGTAGGGTTCCCAGGCCAGGCCCGGCAAATGGTTGGAGGTTTGGGGGCAGGCGTGTCAGCAGGCAGAGGTGTTATGTGTGCTGCTGCTACACCTCTTCCAGGGGAAACCCGGAAGTGACAGAGGGTAGCTCTAGGAATCGCTGGAGACTCCGTGATAAAGTCATAAGAGTTTCTGGTGATTTCTGGAGCTACCCTCCATCACTTGCAGCCGGTTTCCCCCGGAAGTGATGTCGCAGTGCGCACAACACTCAGGGCGTTTGTTTGTTTTTTAAATTCTTCCACTGAAGGACAAGGACAGTTGCTGGTGAAACCCCTACACAGAGGGGCAGGACAATTTTTCTCCAGGTTCATGTGGGGCAGCCGTGTTGGTCTGAAGCGGTAGAACAAATGTAGAGTCCAGCAGCAACTTTAAGACCAACCAAGGTTTATTCAAGGGATGACCTTTCGTGTGCAGGCTCACTTTTTCAAATGCATTGGAAGGGGAGGTAAGGTTCTAAACTTATAGGCAGGGGCTGGACAGCAAATGAACATGTGACATGATGAAGATGAGCAAAGACAAAACTAAATAACAAGCTAAGGTTGTAAGGTCAACAGTTGTAAAGCAATATATATGTCAAAATAGCAGATAAATGTGTAAAGGTATATTTCGTAATTGTGGGAAGTAAACAACTCTCCATTCTCTCCTCTCAGGTGTGGTTGTCGGCAGCCTTATCAAACAGCCTTACATTCAGTCTGTTCATCTTTTTCAAACGGAGCCGAGTGATGTAGTTCTGTTTGATTCTGAGAAGGCATCTGCTACTTACTTTGGCTGGGTGTGGCTCGGAGTGAACAGCACCAGGCCCAGGGCTTGCCCGAACTCATGCACCCAAGCAGCATAGTAGCCCTAAAGCAAGACACGGTGGGCGTCCTCTGTACCAAGAAGATGTCAGGGGTAACCACAAAATTCAATCTGGTTATTTAAAAAAAAAAAATCTTCCAAGTCAGGCTCAGGCAATCCATGCTGTTCTATGGCTACGGTTGCCAACCTTCAGGTGGGAAGCCGCGGATGTGCTATTAATAGAAGTGGAGAAATTATGTGGCTTCGACTGCCGAGAGGAGGGATTTCCCACACAAAACTCTGAAAGGATGAAGAAAGTTGACAATCAGAAGTCCAGAGTGTCTATATGAGCAGTTATTTGTCCAAAGCACTTTATTCATCATAGAAGAATTGTACGTATTGTAAAATTATTTGGTATCTATTAATGTTAAAAAGTCTTTATAGTAAAGGCATAAAAATGTCCATAAAATATTATCCGAGGCCCCGGTCACACGAGAGGTTTTGGGCCGGGAGAGGGACGGATCGGGGGCGCAGCAAACGGGCGCGATCCCACAGCAACATCTGGGAAGCGTTGCGCACCCGTCCCCGATCCGGCCCTTCCGCCCAAAACGCCGCGGCAAAAATAAACCACCTACTGAGGTGGTTCTTTGGGCAAGTCCGCATCAAGGCTGGCCGTGGGATTGCCGGCGCGTCCTTCCACCAGCGCATCCCCGGCTCCTGGCTGAACTGCGCATGCTCAGACATGCGCAGTTCGGCAGCCTCCCCCTCCCGACCGTGGCTTCCTCCCCGGCATCTGATCGTGCCGGGGTGCAACGGCGCCACGGCTCAGGGGATCCATGGGATCCCGCCACAGCGTCTCTATTTTGGTGCGGCTCTGATTAGCCGCACTTTGCCCGGGTTTTGTTCTGCCGTGTGGCATGGACCTTAGTAACTATATCACGGTTGTCTGTATAGTTGGTATTGGTTGTTAACCTTCAGATGGGACCTAGAGATCTCCAGCTTTTACAACTGACCTCCAGACGACAGAGATCAGCTCCCCTGGAGAAAAGGGCTGCTTTGGAGGGTGGGCTGGGAGGCCTGGGACCCCCCCTGCTGAGGCCCCTCCCCAGGCTGGAGTTGGCAACCCTATGGCCTGTCTTTGTTCTCCCCCCCCTCGCAAACAGTCAAAAGGAAGGGAGGGGGGAAGAAAGCAAGTCCTTCGTGTTAATGAGTAGTCGTAACCAGAGAAATAATGCCCCCCCCCTTACCGAAATGCCAGAAAGGCACAGCAGGGAGAACGAGGATTAGGGCCTGTAATGAGCTTTGCCCAGGAGGACCGGAGAGGCCTAGTCCAGAAGGAATGCCTTTGTCTGTCCAAGAGACTTGGGGCAGGCGTGCTGCACACCCGCTCAAGGTTCAAGCCCGTCGAGAAGCCAGGCCTGGCCAGAGCCGCAGCAACTGAGTTCAGCACGGAGGAGCTAATCTGGCAACAGTCTCCACCTCCAGCACCCATCCTTAGTCATCCCAGGAGCCTCCGGAATGGATCTGGCTAGGGATGCCAGCCTCCAGGTGGAACCTGGGGATCCCCGGGAATTACAGCGCATCTCCAGACTGCAGAAAACGGATGCTTTGGAGGGTGGGCTCTCTACGGCATTGCACCCCACCGAGGCCCCTGTCCTCCCCAGGCTCCATCTCCAAATCTCCAGGAGTTCTCCAACCTGGATCTGGCAAGAAAAAGACGTCATGTACTGTCTACATCACTTCCAGCTGACTTTTACCCCATGCTCTGCCCCCAACATTTCCCAGGGTTTGCAGTCATGTGCCTGGCAACGCTAAAAAGACACTGCATAAATAAAATATTTTTAAAAGAAAGGTAATAATTAATAATTATTGTATGGCATTTATGTGTACTATAGCCAGGAGATCTGAAGATTGTCTGGCAGCCTGAAGTTCTAATGCTTTAGCCTTATCCACCACTAGGTGGCGAGCTAGACTTATTGGGGGGGGCTGAGAGAGCTCTGAAAGCGCTGTGACCAACCCAAGGACCCGTGTGGAGGAGTGCGGAATCGAACCCAGTTCTCCAGATTAGAGTCTGTTGCTCTTAAGCAAAGAAGACAGGAATGAACAATCCATTTACGCAGGGGTCATTTCGTAGAAAAAGAGCTAGGGGAACTCATTAGCATAACTCATTAGCATATGCCACACCCCCTGACATCACCGGAAGTGTGTCATAAGGCCACACCCCCTGACATCACCAGAAGTGTGTCATAAGGCTACACACCCCGCCGCCGCCGGCCTTGCAGCTCCACTGCCGAGCCCCATGAGGGGCCCGGCGGTGGACCTGCAAGGCCGGCGGGAGTGCAAGGAAGCCCCGTGAAGGCCCTCCCTGGCCCCAGGCAGGCAGGGGTGAGGAGAGGCAGGGAGGAAGCAACTTACCCTCCCTCTTCTCCTGCCTCCTCCTGGCTGAATGAGGGCCGGAAGCGGGGCGGCCGGAAGCGTGGGGCGGGGCTTCATCATGTGCCCCGCCCCCTGCACCTCATCCGGGGGAACTGCGATCCCCCCCCGAAATGACCTCTGCATTTACAGTCAATCTTGGCAAGCTGCTGGCTCTCCATTATGGCTTCCCACCTGCAGTTACATGTCGGTCATCACCACAAGCATGGAAGAGACCCTCCCCCGTTCTGGCTGGCCGATGATCCCGAACATTCAGCCGACTGTTCGGAGGCCCTGAGAAAAAGCCCGAGAGACGGAGGATGTCCAGGCCTGCCAAGCGGCTGGAGGCGGCTTCTGTGTGGCAGCGGAGCTCTCGTGGGCAGTGTTCCCTCTAGGCTGAGTTAGTGTGAGCTAGCTCAGTTTTTTTAGCCTCCGGCTCACACATTTCTGTCTTCGCTCAGGAAGGAGGGCTCCAGAGCAAACTGATTTATGCGGTAGCCAAATCTCTTGCTCACAACTTTAATGCCAGGAGCTCACAAAGTAGAATTTTGGCTTACAGGACTCCACCGCTTAGAGGGAGCATTGGGTGGCTGCTTCGAATGCTTATCTGTTGGCAACTCCAATGGAACTTCCACAGGGTGTGTTCCCCATCTTTCCCTCTCTAGCAACCCACAGCCATCATTTCCACCCCCACCCATCCTGCGCCACTCAAGGGGCATTTTCCTTAACTGGCAACGGGCATGTCACTGTTGCCTTATAACCCCACAATGACTGAATCGGGCTGCTTGACATTAACAGTTGAGCCAAAAGCGACCGTGCGGGTGGAGCCTCACCAGAGAACTGCAGCCCCTCAAGACTCAGCACCATCCTGCCCTACAAAGGGAACGGTGAGAGGGAGCAGGTTGTATAGAGGGGTAGACAAATAGGATTAATAAGAATGCAATGAACATTAGTTACACTCTTAAAAATTGAAACAAAGCAGAGGTTCAAAGATTCCCTGACTATTACCAAGGGTTTAACTGTAATCTTGCTTTTGGCGATAGAAATGACCAGAAACCATAGTCATCCCCAATGTTCCCTCTAAGCTGTGGAGTCTTGTCAGCAAAAATTCTACTTCGTGAGCTACTGGCATTAAAGTTGTGAGCGAGCGATTTGGCTCCTGCATAAGTTAGTTTGTTCTGGAGCCAGCCCTCCACTTGAGCCACCGCAGCTCCTTCCCTGACTATTACCAAGGATTTAACTGTAATCTTGCTTTTGGTGATAGAAATGACCAGGAACAATAGTCATCCTTTTGACCATTAACCACATAATGCCCCCAAATCCCCACTTGGATGGGCCCAGCCCAGCCGAGAGGTGCAGTGGGTGTCTGAAGTCTCTACAGCAGAGATGTACAGTGGATGAGATCAGTTCTCCTTGCCTGGGGGAAGCCACAAAGACTCCTGAACATCTGTCCAGAGGGGCCTGATAGGAAATCAGCCAGGCTCTGTCTTCAGAGGAGCCAGGAGGCAACAGAGCCGGGAGAGACTCCTTATGCGCTAAGCGCATGATGATTCCCCCCCCCGACAAAGCACACACATCATGGCAGTCGTTCAGGGGTGCACTGTAGGCATGAGTATCCACCTTGGTGTGCCCGTGCGGACAGGAGATGGATATCTTGGCTTTACACCTTGGAAAGCAAATGCCTTCTCTAAGACCCACGGCCCCAACTAGGTGTCAGGATCCACAGCAAGACAACGAAGTACACGCTTCTGAGAAGGTTTTACTTTTATTGAAAAGCCATAGATGCAGTAACATGAACACTGTTAGGAATGGCGGGTTACCTATGCGCATAATAGGATATAGGGCATTCGTATGCGCGCCCCCCCCAGCACTACCCAATTAGATGGGCTCCCGCGCGCGGGCATTTGGCAGATTCTCTAACGGTTGCGAAGCTGGGAAAGTAAGAAGCTCCCACGAAACCTAGACACTACCAGCACCTCCTGTGACCTTGAGAGATACGCTTTACAGCTTAGAGGCAATTAAGCGCATGGGAAGGAATGCAAAGCAATTAGAAACATACACCACACTCATGGCAGCTATAGCTGACACTAGGGTAGCCAACTTCCTGGAGATTTGGGGACTGGAGCCAGGGGAGGGAAGCCCATCAGGGCGTAGAGCCAGAGAGTCCACCCTCCGCATTTCTCCAGGGGAGCTGATCTCTGCCGTTCGGAGACCAGTGGTCATTCTGGAATTCATTGGGCCCTGGGAACCCTAACCCCAAACAGGACTCAGTGCCCCCCGCCCTGTAGTCTCCCCCCTCTATTCTGTAGAATGCCCAGATCCTCATGAGAGAAAACCTAGAACTGAGGGGGGTCCTACGAGGGTTTCTCCTTCACCCTCTCATCCCCCCCCACCGCCCCCCAAGGCATCTCAGACAAGGACCGAGCGGTGGTCTCGTCAACACACGGCCGTGGGTCTCACCTGCTCCAGTGCTGACCCCCAGCAGACGGCAACTGAGTTCGAGGCTTGTCCAAAAAGCCACCTGCTTCATGTTTGCACGGGAAGAAAGTCTTCTCTGCCTTCCTCGGGACCCCGGGGGTTAGACCCGCACACTGGAGCCCCTCCACTCAGCTGGGGAGAGCCCGGTCCCACGGCCTGCCCACAGACCTCATTCGGATGCTGTGCAAAGAGCAGGCCCCCAGGGGCATGCCGTGTTGCCACCCTGAACCGGTCAGCACCACTCCTGGAGGGGCTCTCCTGCAGCAGCTCCTGCCCACATTAATGATTACCAGGTAGGAACGGAATCTCCACCAAGGCCTGGAGTTTTGTCCCCTTCTCCCGGCTGCATTTCAACGCAGGGCAAACCTGTCCCAGGCACGCAGGGGCATGGTTGCCATGGAGCCCCTGCGGGTGCAGATTAATCGCTATGGAACGGGAATCAGGGGCTGAAGGCTTTGCCGGCTGCTTGGCAGGGTTCAAGGCCGCTGGCAGAATTGCTCCCCTGGGGAATGCAGGGGGGGGCGGCGGCGGGGGTCTCTCCCCCTGAGCAGTCAGCAGCCAAAGCGGAGTCTTCAGCCATGCCAAAAGCAAGCCTGTTCTCTGGTGGAAGCTGGTTAAACTTCTGCAAAGAGAACAAAGTTAGAGTCCAGTCAGACACCTTGAAGACCAACCAAGGTTTAGGGATGAGCTCTGGTGGGCGTGCACACTTTCTCAAATGCACTGGAAGGTAAGAGTTCGGACTTACAGAGAGAGGCTGAGCAGCGAATGAACGTGCAACATGATGAAGATGTTTTAAGATATGCAAAGACTAAACTAAATAGCAAGCTAAGGTTATAAGGTCAACAGCTGTTTTGATTTAATTAAGGGGGGGAACAGTAAAGCAATAAATATGTCAACATAGGAGATAAATGTGTAAAGGTATCTATTCTGCTTGTGGGAAGTAAACTGAGACCCACACCTGAGAGGAGACGAATGGACAGTTTCAGTTTACTTCCTACAATTGGAATAGATACCTTTACACATTTATCTCTTATTCTGGCATATTTGTTGCTCTACTGTTTTCCCCTTAATCAGAGTTCCCTCTAAGCTGAGTGTGAGCTAGATCACAGTTCTTTAGCCTCCGGCTCACACACATTTTTGTCTTCGTTCGGGAAGGAGGGCTCCAGAGCAGACTAATTTACGCAGTAGCCAAATCGCTCACTCACGGCTTTAATGCCAACAGCTCACAAAGTAGAATTTTTGCTCATAAGACTGCACATCTTAGAGGGAGGATTGCCCTTAATTAAATGACAGTATCAAAAGGAAGCTGGTTAAACTTCTGCAAAGAGAACAAAGTTAGAGTCCAGCCAGGCACCTTGAAGACCAAACCAAGGTTTATTCAAGGGATGAGCTCTCCTGGGCGTGCACACTTTCTCAAATACACTGGAAGGTAAGAGTTCAGACTTACAGAGAGAGGCTGAGCGGCGAATTAATGTGTAACATGACGGAGATGTTTTAAGATATGCAAAGACTAAACTAAATAGCAAGCTACGGGTATAAAGGTGCCCCACTGGACTCAAAGTTTGTTCTGCTGCTTCACACCAACACGCTGACCACCTGGAATTCTCTGCAACCAGAGTTTGTCTTGATTTTTTGTTTCTTATGTTTGGAAATTTTATTGAACGTGATCTCAAGTTATGAATTCGAATCCAAAAGTAGGGTTGCAGTCTCCTACATGGCAAGAGAGCAAATGCTGAGCCTGGAAAAACTCTCGGGTGGCACCGGGGTGACAAGCGGCGACCATGGGAAGTGGGGTGGGGGGAAATGGTGCCAATTGGGTAGGGCCAGGAAAGGGCTCTCCAGCACACCATCATAGGGTTGCCAACCGCCAAGTGGGGCCCGGAGATCTCCAAATCACAACTGATCTCCAGAGGACAGAGATAATGGCTGCTTTGGAGGATGGCATTATAAGAACCTCAGAAGAGCCCTGCTGGGTCAGACCAGGGAGGGTCCCTCCAGTCCAGCCTCCCATCTCACACAGGGGCCAGCCAGTTCCTCTGGAGGGCCAGCAACAGGGCAGAGAGGCCGAGGCCTTCCCCTAAGAAGAACACCAGAAGAGCCCTGCTGGGCCAGACCAGGGAGGGTCCCTCCAGTCCAGCCTCCCATCTCACACAGGGGCCAGCCAGTTCCTCTGGAGGGCCAGCAACAGGGCAGAGAGGCCGAGGCCTTCCCCTAAGAAGAACACCAGAAGAGCCCTGCTGGGCCAGACCAGGGAGGGTCCCTCCAGTCCAGCCTCCCATCTCACACAGGGGCCAGCCAGTTCCTCTGGAGGGCCAGCAACAGGGCAGAGAGGCCGAGACCTTCCCCTGAGAAGAACACCAGAAGCAGCCTGTTACGTAGTGGGTTGCCGCATGGATAGACGATAGACAACGACGTAGTGCATAGCACGCTTTATTAGGCACACAACAAGACATGCGGACAAACGGCCGGCAGGCCAACTATATACACCTCTGGGGACACCCCCTGGCCACCATTGGTGGGTTTGAATCTCCCGCCATGGCTCCCATTGGTTCTCCTGTGGAGGGACTAGAATCCTAGTCCCCATTGTCTTCCAGGACTGAAGCTCAGGTATGTGCGCTGACCTCCGGTGGCGGTCAGCGGACACAACACAGCCTGTAGAACCAGACCAGTGAAGGCCCGTCTAGCCCCGCAATCCTGTGTCACACAGTGGCCAACCCACTCCTCTGGATGGCCAGCAAGAGGGCACAGAGGCCTTCCCCTGATTGCCTGCCGGCAGCGGCATTCAGAAGGGCCACTGGGGTTGCCAGCCTCCAGGTGGGGCCTGGAGATCTGGAATTACACCTGCTCCACGGACACTGGGGAGGGATCAGTTCCTCTCGAGCAAGGGCTGCTTTGGAGGGGCATTTCACCCTCTTGAGGGCCCCCCCACAGCTCCAACCCCACCCTTCCCAGGCTGGCTCCTCCCCCAGATCTCCAGGAATCCCCAAACCTGGAGCTGGCAACCGCAAGAGGCCCTCTGGAAGGGAGCAGGGAGGGTCCCTCTTTGGCGGGGAGGAGAAAGAAAGGGAGGCCGGCGGGGTGGTGGTGGCAGCCAGCGAAAGGCCACGTGGTGGGCAGTGTTCCCTCTAAGCTGAGTGAGTGTGAGCCAGCTCACAGTTTTTCAGCCTCCAGCTCACACATTTTTTGTCTTCGCTCAGGAAGGACGGCTCCAGAGCAAACTAACTTATGCAGGAGCCCAATCGCTCGCTGACAACTTTAATGCCAGCAGCTCCCAAAGTAGACTTTTTGCTCACAAGACTGCACAGCTTACAGGGAGCATTGCTCACAGGCAGTGTTCCCTCTAAGCTGAGTTAGTGTGAGCTAGCTCACAGTTTTTTAGCCTCCAGCTCACACAATCTTGTCTTAGCTCAGGAAGGACAGCTCCAGAGCAAACCGATTTATGCAGGAGCCAAATCGCTCGCTCACGACTTTAATGCCAGGAGATCACAAAGTAGAATGTTTGCTCACAAGATCCCACAGCTTAGAGGGAGCATTGCTCACAGGCAGTGTTCCCTCTAAACTGAGTTAGTGTGAGGTAGCTCACAGTTTTGTAGCCTCCGGCTCACACATTTTTGTCTTAGCTCAGGAAGGAGGGCTCCAGAGCAGACTAATTTATTGTTGTTGTTCAGTCGCACAGTCGAGTCCGACTCTTCGCGACCCCATGGATCATCTCCCGCCAGGCCCTCCTGTCCTCCACCGTCCTCTGAAGTTGGCTCAATTTCATGTTCATTGCATCGATGACACTGTCCAACCATCTCATCCTTTGCCGTCCCCGTCTTCTTTGACCTTCAATCTTTCCCAGCATCAGGGCCTTCTCCAGGGAGTGCTCCCTTCTCATTGGGTGGCCAAAGTATTTGAGCTTCAGTTTCATTATCTGGCCTTCCAGGGAACAGTCAGGGTTGATTTCTTTTAGGATTGACTGATTTGATCTCCTTGCAGTCCAAGGGACTCTCAAGAGTCTTCTCCAGCACCATAGTTCAAAAGAATCTATTCTTCGGCGCTCGGCCTTCCTTATAGTCCAACTCTCGCAGCCATACATGACTACTGAAAGACTATTGAAAGAGGTAGTCAATCTTTAAAGGTACAATTGTGGTCTTAGGGTACTGTCTCAGTGATGATCTGGTTCTTATAGATCCACATGGGTCAATGCAGGGGTAATTCATGAGGACAACCAGATGGATTTCACCTAGAGAACTGGTGTTGAGTAGTGATGGGCATGAACTGGGAAAATGTGGTATGGTTCATGGTATGCCAGCTTCATGAACCATGAAACATCACAAATAAACCAGTTTCATTTGTGAGGTTTGTGACATGGTAGAACACCCCTCAGCATGATAGAGACACCAAACTCACAAGGGATATCCGGCTAACCCACCTCTACCTACATGCCAAGGTTGGTGAGGATTGAATTTATGGGGTTCGAGTTATGGCTCCCCCAAAGAAGGTGTCCCCAGGAAAGCATTTTCTGGGGAAATGACAAGCACAGGTTCATGAGGGTCAGGATTGTATAGAATGGATCCTGTGCAAATTAAAGATGCCAAACATGCAAGAGATCTCCAGATGACTCTCCTCTACTTGCCCTCCAAGTTTGATGAGGATTGGATTTATGGGGTCCAAGTTACAGCCCCCCAAAGAAGGTGCTCCTATGGAGGGAAAAACAGCAAAAAAGCAAGGACAACAGAAGCCATGCAGAACAGAATCGAAGTCCCAGAGAATCTCTGCAGTAGAAACTGAAGGTTGGAGGCATTTTTGCAAGCCCAGCAGAACCAGTGCAATGTGCCCAGCAGAACTAGTGCCACTGTGGCACTGTGAACCCAACAGGACTAAGGTCAAGTCAGGGAAGTGTTTTTTGGGGGGACATGTCAGACACAGCAGTCAAGTGGAGTTAAACCCCCCACCCCCCTTTGCAGGCTGGTTTGAGATTCGCTTGTCCACAGGTAGGGAGCCCAGTCCTGGGTGGCCCAGGGGAGCGGGGTCTCATCAGATCTCGGAAGCTAGGCAGGGTCCGCCCCTGATCAGTATTTGGATGGGAGACCACCTCTGAATTTCTCTTGCCCTGAATTTCTCTTGAATTTCTGTGCAGAGGCAGGCCATGGGAAACCACCTCTGAATTTCTCTTGCCCTGAAAACCCCACCATAAGTTGGTTACTAGGGTGCTCATAGCTGGGTCAACCAAGCAACTCTGAGTCCTGGCATGCTTGGCTATATCAATGCAAAAAGCCCCCCCCCCCAAAGTTATTGCAATTTACAGTGTTCCCTCTAAGCTGAGTGAGTGTGAGCCAGCTCACAGCTTTTTTAGCCTCCGGCTCACACATTTTTGTCTCAGCTCAGGAAGGAGGGCTCCAGAGCAAACTGATTTATCCAGTAGCCAGACTAATTTATCCAGTAGCCAAACTTCCTGAGCCAAACTCAGGAAGGAGGGCTCCAGAGCAAACTAATTTATCCAGTAGCCCACCACTTTCATGCTGGTAGCTCACAAGGTAGAATTTTTGCTCACAAGGCCCCACAGCTTAGATTGTGGACGCAGAGTCCAGAATTCTCGCCGGTTTGCCCCCCTGCGGCTGTGTTGACCTGGAAGGGTGCAGCTTAGAGCTGCCAGTCTCCAGCTGAGGCCCGCAGGTCTCCTGGAATCACATCTGTTGTCTCCTGGAGGGAGGGGGAACTGCAGAGGGTGGGCTTTATGGCCCTCATATCCATGCCGAGCTCTCCCTCCCTCCCGGGCTCCACCGCCACACCTCCACGGAGGTCCCACGCTGCTATAGGGGGTGGTGACGCTGCTGCTGCTGGGGCCAGAATGAGGAGGCAGATAATAAACAAATAGTAAAGGGGGGAGGGGGGGCTTTGGGAAGGGGCTCCAGGCCACAACGGCTCCTCTCTCCTTCCTCCTAGGGAACCGGGTGGTTGAGATGGGTGCCCACTGGATCCACGGGCCCTCCCAGGAGAACCCCATCTTCCGCTTGGCGGGGGAGTACGGGCTGCTGGAGGAGAGCGCCATGACCGAGGAGAGCCAGCAGGTGGAGATCGGGGGGCACCTGGTGCTGCCGTCGGTCTGCTACTCCAGCCGGGGCCGGGTGGTCAGCCCGGACCTCCTGAACTCCACGGAAGCCCTCTTCTTCAGCCTCTTGGAAGAGGCGCGTGGATTCCTGCGTGCGGCAGAGGTGCCGGTGCCCAGCGTGGGCGAGTACCTCAAGGAGGCGATCGCTCGGCAGGCGAAGGACTGGCCGGAGGACGAGCAGGCGACTCGCCTGAAGCTAGCCGTCCTCCGCATGTACCTGAAGCTGGAGTGCTGTGTGAGTGGGACGCATAGCATGGACTTGGTGGCGCTGGGCCCTTATGGGGAGTACGTCACGCTCCCCGGCCTGGACTGCACCTTCCCCAAGTGAGTGGCTGCCTCGGCTCCTCCCAGGAGAGGAGCTTGCCCACGCGTCGGGGGTGGCAGGGAGGCGCGGCGGGCTGGGTCGACCTTGCGTGGGGAAGTGCCCAGTAGACCAGGAGAGAGAAGCCACGTTGGGTCAGGCCAGTGGCCCATCCAGGCCAACACTGGCCCATCCAGGCCAACACTGGCCGTCCTACAGGGGCCATCAGAAGGTCGTCTTTGTGATTTGTCTGGGGTGGGTGTTCTCCCTCCTGGGCTCTGGGTTCCTGCTCCCTACTGTTTGGGGGTGGTGGTGCAGGAACACATGAACCTGCCTTGTGCTGAGTCTGGGCCCCCTGGGTCCATCATGGTCAGTCTCATCTGCTCAGACAGGCAGTGGCTCACCAGAGTCTCGGGCAGAGAGAGGTCCTTCCCATCCCCTCCTGCCTGATCCTTTCTAGCTGGAGATGCTGCCGGGGATTGAACCTGGGACTTCCTGCATGCCAAGCAGAGGCTCTGCCACTGAGCCACGGCCCCTTCCCACTATAGCTTGGTTCTTAAACACCAGTTTGTGGGGGATCCAGGGCTATTTTTGGGCAGGAACGCACAGGAACGGAGTTCCGGCTGGCTCCCAAGTTGGCCACGCCCAGCAGGAACTCATTAGCATAATAGGCCACACCCAACAGCAGAAACTCATTAGGATTGGCTACATTAGGGGTGTGTGGCCTAACATGCAAAGGAGTTCCTGCTACAAAAAAAGGCCCTGGGTTTTGACAACAAACAAGGTAAACAGAATAACAAGCAAAAGGTGGGTGTGGCTGGATGAGTACGCTTCTGGTAACATGGGGGTGCGGCCTAATGTAATGAGCTGTGCGGTCAGGGGTGTGGCCTAATATGCTAATGAGTTCCTGCTGTTGGGTGTGGCCTGTTATGCTTATGAGTTCCTGCTGGGCTTTTTCTACAAAAAGAGCCCTGGGGGGGATCTATACCCAGGTGCAGATCCCGTTCTGACCAGGCGGCCTGATTTTTCTCCTCCGCTTCCTAGTGGCTACGCCGGCCTCACAGACCGCATAAAGGCCTCTCTGCCCGAAGACGCCGTGCTGTTCAATAAGGTGGTGACCAAGATTCGTTGGGGGGGCTCCTACGTGGAGGCCGTCACGGGCCGGCGCTTCCCAGTGCAAGTGGAGTGTGAAGACCACGAGACATTCTTGGCAGATCACGTCATCGTCACTGTCCCTTTAGGTGACGTTTCTCTGGCTTTCTTGTTTGTGTGTTTGTGGCCATGGTGTGCTGGGAGAGTAAGAAGTGAACACTGCTGTTGCTCAGTAGAGCGGGGGGGGGGGCAGTGGAGGAGGGAACCTGTTAGAATCTGGGAGCCCCTTCCTTCTCGAGCTCCCCTCGCAAATGTCCCAGTCATGTGCCAAGTGAAGCAGGGGAACTCCCTGTGCGAACGGCTTCCTCTTCTTGTGCCAGGATTCTGTGGCTTGTGGGGCATTTTTTTTTCTTGCCGGGCTGAAGTTCTCAGTGTAGAAAGAAAAGCCATTTAGGCAATAGGAAGCTGTTGCCAGGATAGATCTCTGAATTGCAAGCCGCCAGCCACTTTAGATGACAGTTCTCAGCTGCTGCAAGTTAATCACTTCTGCCAGCCTAAGCAACAATTCTGTCTGATAACAAGCTGGCAGGTGGGGGTGATGACTTCTGAAGTCAAGAAAGCGAACACTTAGGCAGGAAAACGCTCTTAAAGGAGACCAGTTTCTTGACACGGAGTTAGAAGGGATCCTAGAGGTCACCTACTCCAACCCCCTTGCTCAGTACAAGGGGAATTAGTCAACTATAGCGACCCCACTCTGCTTAAAGGAGTGCACGCCTTTTAAAAAATGTTTTTAAATGAATGAAGAAAGCATTTAAGGGAGGGATTCTTGTGGGGCTGTGCCTTTAAGAAAGGGGGCAGAGCCCCCAAAAGCCCTCACTGTAGCTGCGGGCCTGGACCCCCAGACCCTTACATGGTTCTTCTGTCCTCCATTTTATCCTCACAACACCAACCCTGTGAGATGGTGTCATGTTCTGTGTTGGACTGGGCGACAAGGCCTAGTGAGGTCTAGGCCCAGGGGAGACCTGTGTGGCAGTGGAAAGCAGACACAGCCTACAATCCCCACAATGCTTAGCGATGGTTGTAACCAATCAGGGTCCAGGGGTTCTATGAAGAGATTGTGACTTAAGCTGTGTGGGCTGTGAAACTGCTCTTTTTCCTCACAGAGTTAAACTGACAGGACAGTTTAGTCTGGGGAAAAGATCCCTCACTTGGGACAGAGTGAGTAAAGGCACAGGCCTGGCATAAGAGGCTGTGGGTCTTGAACAGTAACAAGCAAGAGAAATAGGTAGCCACATTAGATTTGTTTTATTTTGCCTTTAGACACTGTTTATATACTTTAAGCACCGTGCCTTGTTTTCAGCGCCCCCTTACTTGTATTAATAAACCATTTGTTTAATGCTCTCTGCCTGGTCATCACGCCTATATTTCTCAGCTGTAAAGGGGCATTCTGGTTGGGCTTGGGAGGGTACTCTGGGCATTCCCAAGGGACCCTAAGCAGTGTTCCCTCTAAGCTGAGTTAGTGTGAGCTAGCTCACAGTTCTTTAGCCTCCGGCTCACACATTTTTGTCCTAGCTCATTCATCATGTTAAAATAAAACGTTCCATAATCAATTTTTTTTCTTTTCTTTTTTCAATTTTTCCAGTTTTTCGGAAAAAAACAAAAAAAGGCTTCAGGAAAAAAATGGGGAAAAACCGTTTCCCCCCTAATTTTTCCGGTTTTTTTCAGGGCCTTCACATCTCTAGTCATGACAGATGGGTTAAGTTGAAACTGTGTGACTAGCCCAAGGTTACCCAGCGAGCATCTATGGCAAAGTGGAGATCTGAACTCTGAACTGCTGCACCGCACCAGCACATACGAAGTGCCTGTACAGCCTGTCCTGGGACAGATGTTCTCCTTGCTTCTTCTCGGGCGGTCTGAATGTTTCTTGTGGTGCTCCCCAAAGCTCTCGTCCTGCCTTAAGGCATGCCACGGCACTGCAGCTAGGCTGGCGGCTCAACGGCCTTCTCTCCTTCTCCCCAGGTTTCCTCAAAGAGCAACAGGAGACCCTTTTCCACCCTCCGCTTCCCCCTCGGAAGGTGGCAGCAATTCAGCGCTTGGGCTTTGGGACCAACAACAAAGTCTTCCTGGAATTCGAGCAGCCGTTCTGGGAGCCGGACTGCCAAGCTGTCGAGGTGGTGTGGGAGGAGGAGTCGCCTCTGGCCGAGACCCCCGCTGACTTGCCGGCGGCCTGGTTCCGAAAGATCGGGGCCTTCGTCGTTCTCCACCCACCAGAGAGGTTGGTCGGTTTTGTTTGACTTTGGGCCTGCTCTTATAGGGGAAAGTCCATCGGAAGTGGGGTTTGTGAGTAGGCCTTTCTACGGGCATAAGAACATAAGAGACGCCAATGTTGGATCAGGCCAAAGGCCCATCCAGTCAAACACTCTGTGTCACACAGTGGCCAGAAATACCAGGTGCCCTCAGGAGGTCCAGCAGTGGGGCCAGGACACCAGAAGCCCCTCCCACTGTTGCCCCCCCCCCCAAGCACCAAGATGACAGAGCATCCCTTGCCCCAGACTGAGAGTTCCTATAAGAACATAAGAGAAGCCAGTGTTGGATCAGGCGAGAGGCCCATCCAGTCCAACACTCTGTGTCACACAGTGGCCAGAAATACCAGGTGCCCTCAGGAGGTCCACCACTGGGGCCAGGACAGAACTGGAGAGAGAACAACTGTTGCTCCCGGCAGATTAAAGAGGAAATACCTACTGTCAGTGTCGATTTCCCCCAGGAGCCAACATTAACATCTGTAACATCAGTTAAAACAGGTGGTGGTGGTCTGAAGCAGTAGAACACATTTAGAGTGAGTCCAGGGTCACCTTTCAGACCAACAAAGGTTTATTCAAGGTAGGAGCTTCCATGTGTGTGCACACAAGATCTCGTACTTTGAGTAAAACTTTGTTGGTCTTAAAGGTGCCACTGGACTCTAAATTTGTTCAGTTAGTAAAAGCAGTCTTCATATATTGCTATCGCTGGAACATGTTTTTAATTAGCCAGAGAAAACAAGGTTGCGTTTACCTGTTACCCCTGTTCATCAAGTGGTCTCCTTTGCAGGCGCACTTGGGATCTGTGTATATATTCTGTGCTCCTAGGTCAATTGCAAGGATATATCAACCAGAATAAAATAGCCCAGATCCACTGAGGGGAGTGGGTGGCTGAACACGGAAAGCCGATCCCATTGGCGTAAATATGCCATCCTCATACTCTTTTGGGTAGGGATTAGCTACATGGAGGAGCTGCGGTGGCTCAAGTGGTTAAGAGGCTGAACTGCAGGCTGTGGAAGGTCGGTCGTTCAGCAGTCCGAGACCCGAGTGTGCCGCATGACGGAGTGAGCTCCCGTCTCTACTTCCAGCTCCTGCCAACCTAGCAGTTCGAAAGCAAGAAATTGCAAGTAGATAAATAGGTACCACTTCGGTGGGAAGGTAACAGCGTTCCGTGCGCCTTGGTGTTTAGTCATGCCGGCCACATGACCACGGAAACGTCTTCGGACAGCGCTGGCTCTTCGGCTTGGAAACGGAGATGAGCACCGCAACCCTAGAGTCGGACTCGACTGGCTTTCGAGCAAGGGAACCTTTACCTTTACCTTTTTAGCTACATGGGATTCTCCTTATCGTCCATGTTATGAAGAACTGCAGCCACTGCTGAGAGTCACGTGCTGAGAACTAAAAGGAACCCAGAACATCACACGAAATCCCCATTTTCCCTTTCGACCCGCCTCTGAGAGGGGGAGCCCAAAGCCAAACTGGACCGGCGCGGCCAGTTCCGTAGATCCAGGATCGCCCGTCTCCTGATGGAATTTTTCCTTTTGCCACACAGGTACGGGCATGTCCTCTGTGCCTTCATTGCTGGGGAAGAAGCCGAATTCATGGAAACCCTCACAGACGCAGAGGTCCTTGGAGACCTGACACAAATGCTTCGCCGAGTGACAGGTAGGAGGCCTCTTCTGCACTTGCCTGTGAGCCAGGCAATGTGTGGATAAAGATGCTGGCGTGTCAAAGAGGTCCAAAATCTCCCTCTTCTCCCCCCAACTCTTCCCTTTCCTCGAAAACTGAGTGTTTGTGGTTACCAGCTCATGAGGTGATTTTGAGACTGCGGTCTCCAGAAGAAGCGGCATAGGAGATGAACCAGTCAGACCACAGTGAGGTGGACTACCTTTGGACATCTCGTGGCACTGCTAATGGAGTTAGAGGGCCAGAAGTCTAGTTAAATTCCCCCACCCATCGTGAGGGGTGCCCTGATAGCCAGTTTCGTGTAGTGGTTAGCAATGCTCCCTCTAAGCTGCAGTCTTGTGAGCAAAAATTCTACTTTGTGAGCTACTGGCATTGAAGTTGTGAGCAAGCAATTTGGCTGCTGGATAAATCAGTTTGCTCTGGAGCCATCCTTCCTGAGCCAAGACAAAAATGTGTGAGCTGGAGGCTTAAAAACTGTGAGCTAGCTCACCCTAACTCAGCTTAGAGGGAACACTGCTCACAGGGTATCTGTTGTGGGAAGGGAAAGGAGTTTGTAAACTGCTCTGAGACTCCGCATGAAGCTCAGGGTATAAATCCAATCTCCTCTTCTTCCTCTTCTCTTCTTGTTCTGGCTTACCCCTTGACAGCAGCGAAAGATGATTGGTTGAATCCAGGCTAAACGGGCAGCTCGCTTAGGGTCTCCCCCCCCCCCCCGGGCACGGTATCCGGGAACTCTCC